CTCTCTCTTAAAAAAAAAAAAGGTATTGTGTCTAACTACAACTAAAAAATACAATAAAAAAATGGAATGACCTGCAAAGAAAAATAGGGAATTCTTTTATTAAAGAGAGGGTCTGGGGCTGGGGTGAGTTCAAAGTCAGCCTCAGCAATTTAGCAAGGTCCTAAAGTAACTCAGCAAGACCCTGGTCTCTATATAAAACATTAAAAACACCGGGGAGCCAGCACCGTGGCAGACCACTCAGTGGTATAGCCCTCGCCTAGCATGTGTGAGGTACTGGATTCAATTCTCAGAACCGCATATAAATAAATAACTAAATGTCCATCAACAACTTGTAAAAATATTTTTAAAAAGCGGGGGTCTGGGTGTGTAGCTTGGTGGCAGAGTGCATGCTTAGCATTCAGGAGGACCTGCCTTTAATCCTGTCCTCCCCCCAAAGATGTTTACATAGAAGCTGAATAACAATTTATTAAAAAGGGTTTATCAAAAGAACGATGCATAACTAGAGTAAATAATTCACTATGATTCTCATTGTCTAACATTTTTCTGGCATATAGTAGCCGCTCAATAAATATCTGTAGAATGAATACATGATTTCTATAGTCTCTTCAAATTTGAGCCCTTGTGTTGCATAAAGACTCCCCTCAAGTACTTGCCTTCTTTCTTCTCTGGATTCTGAAAGCAATTATGAAACGCTAATACTATGAACCACTAATTTAAAAGCCCGTAATTATGTACCGTAGTGTCTCTTATTGTTCCCTAATTATATAAGGAATTTAAATTCTGCCTCCCGGAGAGTGCTAGTTTCCAGAAATCAATTCCATTCAATTAACGCTCACTGGGCACTATGTATTAAGTACTAGAACCTGCCCTACAAAACCTTATGATCTAAGAGGAACAGAAACACGATCAGAGGGGCAGGGATGGCAGAAGTAGAGTGCTTGCCTAGCATGTGTGCGGCAACAGGTTCAATTCTCAGCGCCGCATATAAATAAATAAAATAAAGATCCATTAACAACTGAAATCAAATCCAATGACTTAAAACAGCAACACTATAGGAGAGTGCACCCTAATAGAGGCATGCTTTACGCCTCTATTATACTACCATCGACTGGGACAAATGAGTTCTGCAAGAAAAGCGGTCCAGGAAAGCCACAGGTAGGAGCTGATAGCTACGTCTCGATGGATTTAAAAAAAAAAAAAAAAGTCAGGCTCTTAGGGGAGAATATCAGGAGGTTCACGGAGGCTGAGGCCGTAGCAAAGAGAGACAAGGATGAGCCTTTCCACTCTGGCCTCAGCCCCCTCCCCGTGAAGGAGGTACAACTTACGGTTCTCTGCCCTACGACCGACACAGCCACCGGCGCCCACGACAGGAGCCAAGGGGCCAGAGGGCGACCCAACAGGCTGCCGGAAGCGGCGTCGGTCCCCGCCGGCCTGGGGAACCAGTTCTGGGAGCGTGGGACCCAAGCGGCCAATCCCCGGGTCGGACCTCGCCTGCCGCCCCTCCCGCACGCCGAGCGCACGGCGCGGTCAACTTGAAATTGGCTCGTCTTCCTCAAACCGGCGGCGCTCTGAGCCCGCCTCCCGGAGCTCGCGATTGGTGGGTCCTCCTGGAGCTCGCGATTGGTGGGTCCTCGCGGCCCATCTCTTAGAAGCCGGGGAGGGAGGGCCGCCCCTGTGAAACCCAGACGGAGGAGGGAGGGGGCGAAGCGAGCCGCCGGAACTAGGGCCCGGGAGCTGGCCGCCCGAGGGGTGCGGCTGCAGAATTAGCGGGGGTCACTTACTGCCGTCTTCTCCGCAGTTAGAGGTGCGCCTGGCCAGCAGGCGTCCTCAGAGAGAACCCCCCTCTCATATATCATCGAGGGACTCTGTTGAGGGAGGCACCAAGAGAGGCCGAAAAAGGAAAGCTTCTAAAGAGGAACGAACCCCTTGAAAGCTACTCTTTAGGAATCAAGTCTCTTTGTGACTCTGACTTCACAAATGGCCTCTCCTCCATTATTCCAACCTTCCCTTCAATCCTACACCACCTTCTCCAGCGCCGCCAGTGGACGCTTCTTTTTCTAAAAACGTTATTTCTATGGGTTGCTGCCAAGTCTATGAAAAGGTGGAAAGAAGGTTTGGGGAACTAGGGTAAAGGCCTGTGTTTTCTGCATTTTCTACTGCTTTCCAAACCCCTTAGTAAAGGGCGGTGGGCGAAGGAGGAGTCGTACTTTCACAGAGGACAGACACCGAGGGAAGGTAGTGGAGACAGAATCTAGGAGTCAGTCTACAAGAATATCCCAGATATCAGAGAAAATAGACTGGGAGGCTGTAGGTAGGTGAAATGGAAAGTGCCGTCTTTGGAATAGAACAAAAACGTAGCTGGGAAGCTCCGGAGACCTTGCTTAACCTTGTTATATCATGTTTTACAAGAAGATTGTAGCTCCCATCTTACAGAGTTGTGCAGAATTGGAAATATGATATATGAGGCACTTGGTACATATTTGCCGTCAGTAACTAGTAAAAATTGATAGTTATGCTGTAAATATTTTTCTCTCTCCTTTACCCAGGAACTTTATTTTTAGTGTCTTCTGTCTGGGGGCCTCCAGCCTCCGAATTATCTAGGACCCTGGTGAACCTTACAAATCTTCAGATTTTTTTTCATCCCCCACTTCATTTGGTGTCTTCCAGCTGGACACAAACTCATTCCTAAAATATGCAGATGGAAGCTGTGGTAACCATGGAGACAGGGCAGGTGGCAAGGAGAGGCAGACAGTGAGAGAGACCAATAGTGACAAACAGGAATAGAGAAGACAGAGTGATTCGGACAGGGGCCTTCCAACAAGATGGAAAAATGAGTCTAAGCAAGATCGAGAGCAAAGAGATACAATGAAAGAGGGTGTGCGTTACATGCTCTGCTCATCTCCTTGCCCCTTTCCTATCCCCGCCCCCGCTTCCCGGGCAGGGGGAAGAGGTGTCTGGGAATGACCCTTGCCCTATCTAAAAATGCCCGGGATATCCATCATCTTCACACTTATCTAGGAGCTCTAAATAAGGGAGCTGAAGGTGTGTATTCTCTGTGGTGTGTATTCTGTTTCGGAAGGACTAGACTGGGGCTGCACTGCTGTGTCTAACTCCAGGCTGGACCATGTTTCCCTGGCATGAAGACAACCAGATTCTCTGCAGTGTGGACGCCGATGTGGATCTTAATCGCCTCCCTCCACCTCTCTGCAATAGTGTGCCATATGCCGTGTGTGGCAGTCAGGTCTGGCGCACAGGAGCGCATAAACACACTGAGTGGAGATCTGCTGAAGCTCCTCGAAGAATCCGAACGCTCGCTGTATAGGTCGCAGAGGAGTCTCCTAAGGAATGCTTAGGTTTGTTGGGGCTGAGGGGAGGTCGGCTGAGAAAGGGAAGTCAGGACTGCAGTCTCTAGGTTTTTCAGGGTTTATGTGTGCATGGGTGGGGAGCGGTTTGGTGCCGACGCCCCCACCCGCAGAGACTGGGCTATAAATAGCACAGCAGAGCTCCGCCCCCCCCCCCAGCTTCTCTCCTCCGGAGCCGGCGCTGTGCCCGGGGCGCACCGGGAGGAGGGACCAGGATCCGGCGCTGGGGCGCAGATACTGACACCAGGGGAATCCGGGCACCCCCCCACACCACCACCACGCCATATGAGCCCCCTGGAACTCGGCTCCTGCATTCCAGCTGCTCCATGGCCGCGTCTCCAATCCTGGCCTGGCAGAAATTCTGCGGACATTCAGGTATCTATTTGGGCTCACAATCTGGAAGGGAAAAGAGCATGGAGTGATGGGGAATATAGCAGGGGCAATAGAAACCCGCAATTATTCCTCCATCCCTTTTAGGTCTTAAACGCAAGATGTTTTCCTACCCCTACTCAATTTTAGGGGTTGTGGCAACCTAAAAGAGATTAGGAATGGAAATGTGGTGTGTAACTGTACCGGTGCATATGTGTGGGTGGGTGGCGTTCAGCATCCTAGAAAGGGGGATTCCAAGTGTGGTTAAGAAAAGGGGGATGCTGGAAAGGTCTGATAAGCCGAGGGGTGAGGTTGGGGGTGCGAATATCCCTGCGCGTGCACGTACATATTTGCACGCGCGCTCATCCTTTGGTGCCGGTGCCTCCTTCCCACCTCCTCAGGCATGCGCTGGGGGAAGGGGCGGCTCAAAGGCAGGAGTTAGAGGAAGGGCTGTAAGCTTTGGAGATTTCTCCCGCCTCACACCCGATGCCTCAGTTTCCCTGCTGAATCTGTCAATAAAATCTCCCTCTTTCTCTCAGGGATAGGTTTCACCACTGAGACCTCAGGCCTCTGCCAGCCACAAGCCCCAGATCCCTAACCATCCTCGGCAGGTCCCAGTCCCGGTTCTATCGGTGCTTTCGCCCCAGCCGCAGCTATGCTGCACACCGAAGGACACGCTCTTCTTCGGGCCGTGGGTCAGGGTAAGCTACGCTTGGCCCGTTTGCTTCTGGAGGGAGGAGCATACGTGAATGAGGGTGATGCCCAGGGGGAGACTGCGCTAATGGCGGCCTGTCGGGCCCGCTACGACGACCCCCAGAATAAGGCGCGCATGGTACGCTACCTCCTGGAGCAAGGCGCAGACCCCAACATCGCAGACCGCCTAGGGCGCACCGCGCTCATGCACGCTTGCGCCGGGGGTGGGGGTGCCGCAGTGGCCTCGTTGCTCCTTGCCCACGGCGCAGATCCCTCAGTCCGAGATCACGCAGGCGCCTCGGCGCTTGTCCATGCCCTGGACCGCGGAGACCGCGAGACCCTTGCCACACTCCTGGACGCCTGCAAGGCCAAGGGCACGGAGGTCATCATTATAACCACGGATACCTCGCCCTCGGGCACCAAGAAGACCCGGCAGTATCTCAATTCCCCTCCGTCCCCCGGGGTGGAGGACCCTGCTCCCGCTCCTCCTAGCCCGGGGGTCTGCACTTCGCCTTCGGAAATCCAATTGCAAACTGCAGGAGGACGAGGATTGTTATCCCCTCGCGCCCAGGAAGAAGAGGAGAAGCGGGACGTATTTGAATTCCCTCTTCCTAAGCCCCCTGATGACCCCTCCCCTTCTGAGCCGCTCCCCAAACCGCCTCGACACCCCCCGAAACCACTCAAAAGGCTTAACTCCGAGCCCTGGGGCCTAGTGGCTCCGCCCCAACCTGTCCCTCCCGCCGAAGGAAGACCCGGGATCGAGCGCCTAACCTCGGAATTCAATGGTCTGACTCTGACGGGTCGACCCCGTCTTTCCCGACGTCACAGCACGGAAGGCCCAGAGGATCCTCCCCCTTGGGCGGAAAAAGTGACTGGCGGAGGTCCTCTCTCTCGCCGAAACACGGCGCCCGAGGCTCAAGAGTCTGGTCCCCCTTCAGGGCTACGCCAAAAACTGAGCCGCATGGAGCCGGTGGAGCTCGACACCCCCGGACATCTTTGCCCTGATTCACCTGAGTCCAGTCGACTGTCCCTCGAACGTCGCCGATACAGCGCCTCCCCGCTGACCCTCCCTCCAGCCGGCTCGGTTCCCTCCCCGCGTCAGTCCCAGGAAAGTCTGCCCGGGGCTGTATCTCCGTTGAGCGGGCGGAGGCGGAGTCCCGGGCTGCTGGAACGGAGGGGCTCAGGGACGCTGCTCCTGGACCACATCTCCCAAACGCGGCCGGGTTTCCTGCCCCCTCTCAACGTCAGTCCCCACCCCCCTATCCCCGACATTCGCCCCCAACCCGGAGGTCGGGCGCCTTCACTGCCTGCCCCTCCCCACCCTGGGGTGCCCGGCTCTCCCAGGACCAAGCGCAAGTTGGTGAGACGCCACTCCATGCAGACTGAGCAGATCCGCCTGCTAGGGGGCTTCCAAAGCCTAGGCGGGCCAGGGGAATCAGGGCGCTGAGATAAGTGGGAGGAGCCAAGGAGGGCGGGGATCAGACATTGATGGGACAGATTGGAGAACCAGCTCTTACGCATACCTTGGACACAGGGATCTCTTGCATGTGCTTATGGCACGATGCACGTACACATGGGTAAACGTGTCCACAAGCACAGCAAACTTATTAGCAAAGAAGGATAAGTACTCCATTAACTGGGTTACAGACATAAGAATTCGTGCCCTGGTCATTTCACAAGCATGTGGGATTACTTGAATACCCACAGGCACAGCACACCAATATACACAGAGGACCACTTGTGCTAGGGTCCAAACTCACTTGCATTTGTTCAGAAGCAGTAAGGACCCCTACTTATGGGTATTCTCCTATATCTTTGCCCTCCTGCAGAAGCAATCCCTTGCTTTCCATGTATGCCCTGCAACACAGCCTATCATGATTTTGCACACTCTACTTTCTCATGAATTTTCCACTCCATTTTGCAGGTCTTGCTTCTCTCTCCAGGCCTGGCTCCTTGTTCACCCCCTGCTTCCAACCCCAAACACTTTTCAGGATATCTCTTCACTTCTTGGGGTTCCTGCAGCAACTCCCTGTCTCAGTGCTGCTCTTTCCTGCTCTCAACTTCCTACTTTTTATTCCCACCCTGTTCTCTCAAACACTACAACAGGTTGTCTCATTTTCCCAAGGGGTGGGTCATGGGCTCTAAACTGCTCTACTGTCGGTCTGAGCTTATGAACACTCCCACAAGTAGAAGTGGGGAGTAGTTCTAAATCACTCCTCACTCCACTTGACATATCAAATAAATGTGTTCAGAAGTCTCTGTTTTGTCACTTCTGCCTGGGGCGTGGGGAATAAGGAAGTGTGGAGGGAGGGTGATACTAACGTACAGCTACAAGGATCCAGGAGATTACTCAGAGGTTATAGTTACTGTCTTTTCAGGAGACCAATTGATCAACAGTAGAAGAAAAGGCAGGGGTCCTGAAGGTTTTAGGCATTTGACAGGCTGTCATTTCCTCCAGTCTCCCCTGTGTCCACCCTTAAATTCCTTAAGATTCCTACACAGAGTGCCTCCCTCCACCATCAACAGTATAGTTCAGTAGATGACTGTCTCCTTTTCTAGCTTCCTATTTCTTGTCGACTCAGTTTTTACTCGGGGGCCTAATTTTCATTTCACTAAGTCTTTTGCGTTTATTTTCTTCTCCTTTTTACCTCTATGGGCTATCTTTATTTCTGAGTCACTGTAGGAGAGATTTTTGGGCCGGGGAGGTGGTTAGCAAAAACTTCACCTAAGTAAAAATGGTACATAGTCAACTGACAAGTGATGTGTAATGTGTGTGATGTGTGTCCATGTGTGAGGTAAAAAGAGGAATCCAGACAGACTCTTTGAACAAGGGTGCCTTTCCTAACCTGTTTCCTGAATTTCTCAGTTTACTGGTTTTTCTGCATATATTTCTCACTCCAGTGGGATAAAGGGAGACACCCGCTCTACTACTTACTCTCTTTCTTAGGATTGGTGGAGTCGGAAATTTACCCAACAATGTGACATGGTGAAAAGATGAAAATATTGGGCATCAGAATCCTATGTCTGAGCCTCCCCGCCTCCCTGCCCCTTGTCATTTCCTAGCTATTTAATTTTGGGCAATTTAACCTCCCTATGTGTCAGTTTCTTTATTCATAAAATAATAATAAAAACTGGTTGTGATTGTGATTATTAAGTACAACAATGCACTAACGCATATGACATACTGTATGCTCATTAAATGTCAGTAGTTTTTCTTGTTTCAGTTCCATCACCAATTACCATGTGATCTTTGGCAAGTCACATCATTTCTCCGAGCCAGTTTCCTCATCTACATCGATAAAATAAGGTGATGGGACAAATGAGCTCTTTCACTGTGTCTACCATTCATCCCAGCCTTGCATCCAGGCCTATTTTTCCTTCAAGCCCCGCCCCAGGGGTCTGGGCGGATTTCTAGTGCTCGCCGCAGGATTCCCCAAGACGCCCCGAAGCTCGGCTCTCCCTGGCAGAGGGTATCGTTTTTTCCTCTTCGCATTGGTTCTCCGCACCTCCAACTTCCTCAGTGATTTGCTTCTGGTGGCCTGAGAGCCCGCCCCCTCCCTCCCTCTCGCTGGTGATTGGCGCGGGACCCGGCTCTTCCCCGCCTCCACTTGACGGACAGCTGGGCCGCGGCCCCGCCCCGGCCCCGGCCCCGCCCCGGCCCCGGCGCTCGCTGGCTGGGC